AACATGAAAATTTAAATAATTAACAGGAGTGGATTCATTTATACTAACAAAATCCTCCTCTTGTAGCCAGGTTTCTGTCAGACAAAATAAATCAATATGATGATCAGTTATCAGTTCATTAACTAACAGGGATTTAGAGGAAAGAGATCTGATGTTCAATACTCCACATTTAATGATTTAATGATTTTGCTCTGGTAAAGTAACTGTGTTTATTTTAATCAGATTTTTATGGTTTATATTTTTAGAGCTGATTTTTGGTTTATTTAATTTGAGCCGTGGGTGAGTTGACACTGTTTCAGTGGGGGTGTGGGTGGGTAACAGAGGAGAAGCAGCAGAGAGGTGTGGAGGACTACAACTCTGCTTCCTGGACTGGACCCTGGGTTGTCAATAATTTGGGGGATAAACAAAATCAGCCATATTTCTAGAAAGAAGAGCGGCTCCGTCCAAAGTGGGATGGATGCCATCTCTCCGCATCAGACCAGGTTTTCCCCAGAAAGAACTCCAGTTATCTATGTAGCCCACGTCGTTGTCAGAACACCACCTGGACACCCAGCGGTTAAACGACGACATACAGGTTGGGGAGGGGGCCGGAGAAAACTAAGGAGTCCGACATGGTTTCAGCAAAGTCACACACCGAAGCAACATTAATTTTAGTGACCTCCGATTGGTGTAACCGGGTGTCATTACCACCGACGGGTTGTCTGCGGAGCTGGGTCTCTGCTGGTGTACGATCGCAATACATTACTAGACCTCCGGCCACTGGTCCAGGATATGGAATTATTGGATGTTGCTGGCCAACAATCCTTGCCCCCGCTTCTGTCGGAGATTCCAAGCTACCTGTTCCGGGTTCCTGCGCTGCTTACACGGCGGAGACGTCATCGTCGTCGCGGTAGACGAAGCGGCTGGCTGGTGAAGCTGAAGTTTTATATGACGCACTGTTCTGCTTTTAACCGATCATCACATGGATCGTTTCTGGGCTCTCGGGTGCCTCGGCGTTTCTTGGATCCCGCTCATGTCTGCTTGGTGCCAGTGGTCGGCTTTCAAGCTCCTCTGCATCGCCGTCCCCGCCCTTCTTGGATCAACATGCGCCGACGGTGTCTCCAAAACCTGAGACCGCTGTGCCGGGTTTCCCGACCTGTCGACGCCCAGGATCCAGTTCCTGTCAGGATTGGCCTGATAAACGCCAGGTCGCTTGGGAATAAAACTTTTATTCTTCGGGACTTTTTTAGCTGCCAAAACCTGGATTTTTTGTTTGTGACTGAGACGTGGCTGAGTGTTGGTGAGTACAGCGCTCTATCTGAGCTCTTACCAGCAAATTGTGCTTATTTTAATTCACCACGGGCCTCGGGGAGAGGGGGAGGCACAGCAACTGTTTACAAACAGGACTACAAATGTAAGCAGTGTTTTCTACAGACGTCTTTTCCCAGCTTTGAGTTTACATCTTTTGAGATGAGACACGTAAACCCAGTTTTCTGTGCTGTCGTCTACCGGCCCCCCAAATATAATAAGGATTTTTTAAGTGACTTTTCTGACTTTTTATCTGGGATTTTAACTAATTATGACAAAGTTCTTTTTGTTGGAGACTTCAATTTGCACGTGTGCTGTCCTGATAAGCCTCTGGTAAAGGACTTTTTAAGCCTTCTGGACTCTTTTAATCTGGTACAGGCCGTATCCGGCCCTACACATGAACATGGACACACATTGGACCTGGTTATTTCCTGTGGTCTGCCAGTGACTAATCTGGAAATCTGTGACGCTGTGTTCTCGGATCACCTGCCTGTTTTATTCAGTGTCACTTTGACACCTACTACAGTTAAAACTCGCGCTGCTGTTCGGCGCTGTCGGATTATTAACCCTTCCACTGCCACTCAGTTCTCTGCTGCTTTTCTTCAGCTCTGTGGATCATCTGACTTCCTCCACTCCAATACAGAAGAGCTCTGGTCATGGTTCTGTTCTTCCTGTCAGACCATCCTGGACTCGGTTGCTCCGTTAAAAACTAGGCAGCCAAGGATTAAACCTGAGCCTTGGTTTAATGACAGAACTCGTGCTGTAAGGAAGGAATGTCGTCGTATTGAACGCAGATGGAAAAAGGACAAACTGCAGGTTACTTTTCAGATTTTAAAAGACTGTTGGCGTCTCTACCAGAGCACGGTTAAAGAAGCAAAAAGGGAATATTTGGCTAGTGTTATTTCTTCAAACAGCCATAACCCACGTGTTTTATTTGACACCATTGACTCTGTGCTTAATATTCCACAAAATGCCTGTTTGGAAGCTTCTCCTGGCATGTGTGAAAATTTTCTGCGTTTTTTTATTGAAAAGGTTGGTAGTACCAGGGCTCTTATTACAGCTCCTGACTCTGACCCCTCAGTTTCAGTCCCTTGCTCTGCTGTTTTTAATCAGTTTGAGCTTGTGACTGTTTCACTTTTAGAGGACGTAGTTGGCCGCATTAAGCCATCAGGTTCCCCACGTGATCCTGTCCCTCCACGACTTTTTAAAGATATTTTATCTAGCATAGGGCTGCCTGTTCTTGCAATTTTAAATGGCAGTCTGTCCTCAGGTGTGGTCCCTGCTAGTTTTAAACATGCAGTGGTGCAGCCCCTGCTTAAAAAAACCTGGCCTTGATCCAACTGTTCTGGCTAATTATCGGCCTATTTCAAAGCTGCCTTTTCTTTCTAAGGTTTTAGAGAAACTTGTATACTGTCAGCTGACACAGTTTTTAAATGACAATGGCATTCTGGAGGTTTTCCAGTCAGGTTTTAAAACTCTCCACAGTACAGAATCTGCTTTGATTAGAGTTTTTAACGACATCCTTCTTGATTGTGATTCTGGTAATCATGTTGTTCTGATTTTACTTGACCTAACTGCTGCTTTTGATACAGTGGACCACAACATTTTAATATCGCGATTACGACATATTGTTGGTATTGATGGCACTGTTCTTAAATGGTTTAAGTCTTACTTGGAGGAGAGAACATTTTCAGTGAAAATTAATGACTCTGAATCATCTTCAGTTCCAATGCAATATGGTGTCCCGCAGGGCTCAATTCTGGGCCCTATGCTCTTCTCGTTGTACTTACTGCCTCTGGGTTCTATCCTTAGGAAACATGGGATTTCATTCCATTGTTACGCTGATGATTGTCAGATTTATTTACCCCTAAAGCAGAAGGATGGACATACGTTCACACATCTCCTGGAATGTCTAGGAGATATTAAAGCTTGGTTGGCCTTGAACTTTTTAAATTTTAATGAAAACAAAACCGAGGTGATGGTGTTTGGACCCAGTGGCTCCTGTGAGTCCTCCTCTATTAACCTGGGACCCTTGGAGAAATATTTTAAACCTGTTATTACAGATCTTGGTTTTAAGGTGGACAGTGATTTTAAATTGGACAGCCAAATCAAAGCCGTGGTTAAGTCCAGCTTTTATCATTTAAGGCGATTGGCGTCAGTGAAGTCTTTTCTTTCCAGACAGCATTTTGAAATGGTGATCCACGCCTTTATTTCGACTCGATTGGATTACTGTAATGCACTTTATCTGGGAGTCAGTCAGTTGCTGCTCTCACGTCTGCAGCTGGTTCAGAATGCTGCTGCACGACTTTTAACAGGAACTCGAAAGAGGGAACATGTGACCCCTGTCCTGGCTTCACTTCACTGGCTGCCTGTATATTTTAGGATTCATTTTAAAATTCTTATGTTTGTTTTTAAATCACTGCATAATCTTGCCCCGGCTTACCTCTCTGAGCTTCTTCATCCCTACATACCCTATCGGTCTCTCAGGTCAGCAGATCAGCTGCTCTTGGAGGTACCAAGAACAAGAAGGAAGCTCAGAGGGGACAGGGCTTTCTCTGTCATGGGCCCTAAGTTATGGAACGACTTGCCTTTGCAGGTCAGAGAGTCCCCTTCACTGTCCATTTTTAAAGTTCGTCTTAAAACTCATTTATTCAACTTGGCTTTTAACACCAGCGGGATCTAGTTTTTAAATTTTGTATGCTTTTAAAATGTATGTTTTTAACACCAGCAGGATCTAGTTTTAAATTGTATGTTTTCTGTTTTTAAACTGTTTTTATTTCCACTTTTATTATGTTGTGTTTTAATGTACAGCACTTTGTGTCAGCCATGGTTGTTTTAAGGTGCTTTATAAATAAAGTTGGTATGGTATGGTATGGTATGGACGTGAATAACAATCTTACCTTATTTAGCCTTAGTCAGCAGTTTCAAATAAGATTCTATGTCGCCCTGCTTGGCCCCCGGAATGCATTTGACTATGGCCGCTGGAGTCCCTAAAGCCATGTTTCGGACTATGGAGCTGCCAATAACATGCATGTCTTTGATCTGTGGGAGGAAACTGGAGTACCTGAAGAAAACCCACGCAGCACAGAGAGAACATGCAAACTCCACCCAGAAAGGTCCTGGTCAGGATTCGATCCGATGACTTTCTTGCTGAGAAGCAACAGCTGTACCAACTGAGCCACCATGCCACCATGTAAAAAAACATGAAAAATTTATTTTTCATGATACTACCCCCAAAAAGGATTGGCCCTTGATCAGATTTTTTATTTTGGCTTCGTGTTAAAATTGAGTTGAACCCCTCTGAGTTCAACGTTCATGCAAATTTAATGAGAAGTTAGAAGCTTGTTTGTAGTTTAAGCTCCGCTTTATGGTCTGAAGAGACTCGTGATCAATGAGACGAGACACCAGTCAGCTGAGTTGATGGAGAAACAAATTGTTTAAATCTTGTCTTGTTCTCAGGAGATGAGACCCACATTTCCACCCAGCTTCTTATGTTGTTTACAGTTGTTTACATTTTCCAGCAACATTTCTCCCAGTTGAGTTTTACTGAAAATATGAATGAGTAAAGGTGGGAAAGTCTTCAAATGTAGTTCTTGTTTTCATATTTTTACATCACAAAGTCTTGGACGTTTGAACTGAGCGGTAGAGACTTTTTATGTCCTCTGTAAGTTTTGTTTAAATAACGGCATCTATTCCTAACTTGTGCTTAACAGCGACTCTGGAACGTTTCTCGGACTTGGAACTGTGACTGGATCAGTAGCAATTTACATTGCGTTCTCCCTCCAGGTAACGCCAGCATCAAATTAAATGATACATGAAGGAACAAAGCAGATGTGAATATGTTTTTTTTTCTGTTCTACAGAAGCTGTATTATGTCCATGAGTCCCATGGCATTGTTGTGACAGATCTGGCCTTCCTGCCTGACTCCCTGAAAGGCAAAAGCCTGAAGGGGAGGAACGAAACAGCCATGTTGAGCGTAGCTGTAGACAGTCGCTGTCAAGTCCATACTGTAGCCATCCAGAGTAAGTCTGCCTCCACCAGCCCCCACAACAACAATTTGTTTTAGAAGCTCATTTGTCTTTGTGTTCCTCTCAGAATATTTCCCCATCTGGCTCGTCATGATGTTCTGTGCTCTTATGGTGGTGGCAGTGGTACTCCTTCTACAATACCTCTTTCCTGGATTTCTTTAACTACGTGGCTCAGGGTGCTCCACCACTGACAAATCTCCAACAGAACTCAGTCCAGACATCTCCATGTCCCAGTACTGCACAACCACAGAACCCAGTGAAACCAAACCACAACCCGCTGTTTACTTTCAACAGTGATTGTTCTCAGTGAGCTTTGGATTCACTACAATTTTGATTTAGTGACTGATCAATAGCTGAAAGCTTTTGACATAAATAGAAAAAGAGTTGACAATTTTTTTAAGTTTGTGCTTGAAAAAGAAATTCATCATAATTCAGATTGTTCTCTTCTAAGCATAATAAACATGTTAAAATATTTGTTATTGGAATAACTAACCGTTTACTATGTCAATATACAGAAATTAGGTCCAGTTTCTTATGTCAAAAACAGATCTGCTCTAAGTCCATGAAAAATAAAGTGTTAAACTTGATTAATCATGTCTTCTGTCAGATTTATATTTAACTTTAAAAGTAAAACATCAACATAAAACATGTCTTAATGTAGAAAATGGTGACTTAATTTTTAAAATCATTTCCACATTACTGTATTTTGTTGGATGGAAAGTAGAAATAAAAGAAATTAAGTGAAGTTTTGGTCAGAAAGTCTTTGTTCAGAATCAGAATAAACTTTATTGGCATTGTACCGAGATACAACGCGAATATGTACGTACAGTCGTCCGAAGATGGGCGGAGTGCACGAAGCTGCGGCTATAAATAATTAGCGCGGCCCTCTTATTCTTATTCAGAATAATATTTTGCTTAGATGAGAAAAGGAAAGAAAACATCAGGAGAGACAGTATAAAAAAAAAGATCTCTCACACCGTGTCCTAGACAGGGCATGATTTGAGGCATTAAAAAAACCTACCACAGCAAAGTAACATAAACAGACGTTATACATGTACATATAGGCCGGTGAAGACATTGAATTTTTAAGGGAAAGTCGTAGCATAGTCCAGAGCCCCCCTCAGCCATTGTCCAGATAAGAGGTGACATTCATCTTCAGCTCAGTTGAGGTTCTGTTACATGTCCACGGCCTTGGGGAAGGGAGGGGTGAGGAAACAGTCAAAGCATCTTTGTTGTTTTCAAAACATTCCAGGAGGAGTTGAGATAAGTCTGACATCAAGGCCACAATTTGGGTCAGGCAGAACTCGTGAATTGTTGTTTCTGCCTTTTAAAGTCTCGCTGGTACATATTCTCTGATGGAACTCCAAAACAGCCAAATTGATCCTTTACTCCAAAAGTTGAGCTCACAGGTTCTCCAAGATTATTCCTATTATTCATGAGTGCTGCCAGGAAGATCACAGTCCTGATAACAGCTGCTCCAACTCCCTGTTGCAACTTCCCACATTCAGTCTGGACACTGTCGAGCTTCAACACATCCACACAAATTTGTAGACAATCCAGATTTCACCAACCCAAACAGCAAAAACCAGTTGTCACCATGAATCCAATTGTTTCCGTCGAGGTAAGAGGGTCCTCCTTACCCTGACTCCTGTCGGGAGAAGTTGATCGATTTTGTTGAGAGACCAGCTGATCCTTCGAACTAAGAGGTATGCAAAGAAAAAAAAGAGGCTGTATTTGGTTTGAGGTTGTCCAACAAATCCCAACCTCTGACTAAGGACCAGATGTTGACGTGTACAACGGCTCATATGGGAAAATAGGATCAGCAGGGTGTGGTGTGTGATATATATATATATA